CCTCATTATAGTGAACGCCTGAAAAATGAATTTAAACTTGTGGAGTCATACACATACCAATGGTTTTGATTCTTTTGCTTGCAAATAACACCCTTCAAGTACAAAAGAAAATGGTCTGTCCTAAGGAAAAGACCCTTAGCCCTGCCACCTCTTTCTAAACCATCCCGATCCTAACTCCCAAGGCCGAAACTACAAATTACAGGGTGTATGCTAAGTCAGGCTTTTAAAAACCAATGAATGACATATGTTTTGCTACTGAACCATGGAATACTCTCTTCCTGGAAGTGCAGCCCTCAAATGCTCCCACTACTAATTTCCTCCCTCAAGGAACTTCAGAGTTAGAAAGGACTGTTGATTGTTGCTTCCAAGCCATATTCCTTCTCCTTCTTACAAAGACTACAGATACCAATGCAGGGAAGGTTGCAAGGCTCTACCTCAGCCCCTTCTACCTTGCAGACTCAGACTGTCATCATCAGAAACTTCTCCATGACCACAGTCTTTCTCCGACACCAAAATGTCCCATATCCCAGATGGCTTACTCAGTCACACCCAATACAGCAATTCTTCAACATCAATGGGTACTTTGGCCCACCTCCATTCTCTCTATTCACTCTTCCTTTGTCTCCAATCCAGCTCGGATTTCATGTTATATCACTCTCTTGGCCAAATCCTAAACCTCCAGCCACCTAGCAAAAACCTAAACCTGTATGAATGCCACAGTCTACCTTCTCCATACCTCAGACAGCTGGATATAGCTAAAGTTCCCTAAAGAAGCAGAAGTTTCCACCATAAGCTTAGTCACCAACTGCTTGCTAAATAAAACCCAACAATTCTTTCTCTTGTCAAACTGCCATGTGAGTCTTCAAACCTGCCCTCTCCCCAAATGTTCATTCCCAAGCAGATGGTCTGATCTAGTAAAAGCATCAGACCAAAAACTCTCTCAACTGCCTCTGTCCCTTAGTGCTTATCTGTCTTCACACCTGTCTTCCCTTTCTTTCACAAAGGAGGAACAGATATATTCCCAAGGTTAATCGTTCCATGTGTACTCTGGAGCTCGTTCTTAGGAAACCTGGACTTTTAATTATTCCCTTTATCCGGAGGTTCAACTCTTCTTTTAATGGGAATTTCCCAACAGCATTTACTCTGTCCTCTTAGAAAAGAGAAGAGAGGGGGTAAAGGACAGGGAAGAGAAAAGGGAAGATTAGAAGAAAAATATCCTTTGTCATCAAATCCCCACCCACTAGGCCCATCCCGTATCACAGCCAAACTTCAAGAGCTCTCTATCCATCGGTTTAGTAGAGGACCTCTCTGCATATCCCATCTATGTGAGGGCATTGCATAGACAACACTGATACTCAAACAAAAGAAGAGCTGCTCCAGCTGAAGTAGAGACACAGTCTCGTTTGGTCCCTACCTCAGCATTGCTCATGAAGCCTGAGGCTCTGCGGAACCTATAAAACCACTGCTCGAGGCAAGCAAAACCGGTATGTAAACTTGTCCCTTGAACATTTTGCCACTGAGTCTTAGTTTCTTTTTTTTCCCCTTAAACTTGAAACGCCAACAAATGAAAATTCCATGAGAATAAGAAGCTGTTCCACAAAATACCTATTGTCAGTGTCTTGAAGAGTGATGGGTACACAGTAAGCACTCAATAAATACACACTGAATGAATGATGCTCTTCCTCCTAAGCGCCAAAGTCAGTCTTCAGTGTCATACAAATAGGGTCTTATTTTAAAAATCTTCTACAATGCTGCTACATAGAATTAAATTATGTGTACTACACATGCTAAGCAGTAAGCCAGGCACTGAAGATGCAGAATGCAAGACACAGTTCCTGCTCTTGAAGACTCTCAGTCTGGAACTCTTATAATATGGTCTTTATGCAATTCTACATTATATTTATTTATTTAATTCTACCACTAGATGAACACCTATCATGTCACAAACCCAGACCCTATATTACTCCTAATATCTCATTTATCTTAAAACTATCACAAAGGTCAGACTTAATAATTCCTGAATTTATAATTATAGAAAAATTATTTAAAACATTTTCTAAGGTAAATGTTAGGAAGCAAAATCCTTTTTTTCCTGAGACAGCTCTGTGTGTGTGTGTGTGTGTGTGTGTGTGTATGCAGACACGATTTTATGATGTTGCCTGTGTGTGAGTAGACAGGATTTTATGATGTTGCCCAGGCTAGTGTGTGTGTGTGTGTGTGTGTGTGTGTGTGTGTAGAGACAGGATTTTATGATGTTGCCCAGGCTGGTCTTGAACTCCTGAGCTCGAGTGATCTGCCTGTCTCAGCCTTGTCCCAAAGTGCTAGGATTACAGACATGAGCACCACAACTACCCAGCACCCACAACTACTTCTTGTTCACCTATCAATTATATAACTAGATTTCCATATAAACCAGCTGATGTTTAAAAGACAGTGAATAGAAGCCATGGAGTCAACCCCTTCCTTTGAAAATGATTTGTAGAAAGCTTTGTATTGATGAATACAAAGCTTCTACTTCTTTGGATGGTCTCTGCCATATTGCTTTGATATCATTCATATGTTCCCAGTCTCAGACAGTTTTTCCACTTTTTTAGTCTTTGGTTTCTTTTTTTCCTTCTTCTCCTGCAGCTTCCTCATCAGATTCTTCTTCCTCCATGGGCTCAACAGTTTCAGGCTTCCTGCTCCACACATAAATAGGAAAGTTTATGAAATGTATTTTTTGACGAGATTTTTAATTGTATCCGATTCAAGGTAATCAGATGTTTCTTCTTTTAAAACAAGGGTAATTGTCGTTCCCTGTCCTGGAGTGTTTTCTCTTGAGTCAGCAATTACAGAAAGTTCACTGGAGTCAGACTCCCAGATGTGCTGGGTATCACTATGTTTTGATGTGACAATAACCTTACCTGCTAAAGGAAGGTGACACCAAACTAGCCAATCAATTCAGAAGGTGACTGGCCATCTGCCTGTGCTTCATTCATTTTGTTTACAAACTCACTTGTCCCAGATTTGGCTACGGTATCAAGGTTTTTAACCAACTCTACTCTGGTCATTCCTACATCAGTGTCTGTGACATGCAGCAGGTTCTTCTCATCACACTTAATTTTGACTGTTAGTTCCTCATTTCCAGAAAGAGCATTTTCATCAGTCAGTGATATTAGCCTTATCTTATCTAAAGCATTGGAAGCATCTAAAATCAGTTTTCTCAGGAAAATCTCTTTATTTGTATATAATGAATTGATAGTTTCATCATTTTGTTAACTTCGGCTTGGAAGGCAAACTTTTCTTACTTAAGTTCTCTTACTGGTGATGCATTTACTCCATCCAACTCAATAGCTTCTTCTTCTCTCGGTACTACTTCATCATCCGTCCTTGAGCCTTCTCCACTTTTACCCAGATCCTCTTCTCCTGTACCATCCACATCAATTTCATCATCAGCTCTGACCGACCTGAAGGTCAGCAGGACCCAGCAGAGCCCAGCAGAGCCCAGCACCCACAGGGCCCTCTTGGTGTGTGGCCAGTAAGTCTCAAGTACCTTTCGATTGCAGGAGCGGCCTCCACCTCCCCCACTGCCTCTCGACCCTGGGCTCAGATCCTCACACTTCCAGCCGAGTGGTCCACCCATGAGTTTGACTTTTATAAGCAAAGGTCAATTCTCTGAACAAAGTCTACCCCATTTGGCTATGGTTGATAATTAATAAGTAATCCACTCACAAATATTTCTCTATACATAAAGAAAAAACACGTGAAAATCTAGGCTATAATCCTTGTCAAAATATTTCTTATACCTTCTTGCTAAAAGGTTACAAAATATGAACAGTTTTACATCATGCAATGATGACTTTGCAAAAAGAGATTTATATAACTGTATACAGATTTTCCAAGGTGGAAAACTGAAAAATCCAATTTCAGAAATATAAAAGTAGACACTCAACATATTTACCAATATGCCAATCACAAAAGAATAAAACATGCATATTTATTTACTTCTAGATAGAGCAAAGATAAATTCATTTTATAATGCTTTCTACCCACTTATGGGCATTGTACACATATTAAATCAAACTTTTCCAGGAAAACAAGCCATATACATGAAGCCAGTAAGACACACTTTCCAGTTATTTAACAAAGTCCAATATAGAGAAGGGAATGAAGAATGGGTGAATTCACAAAGTAGTAAGATTTCATAAATCATCTAAAATGAATGAGAACTAGAACTCAAGTAAAAGATTCAAATGAGGTTAAGTGATAACCAGAAAAGGCCATAAAAAGTAAATCCATTTAATACAGAGACCAAATTTTACAATAAATAGTGGGAATAAAAAGCTTGATTTGGACATTCTCTTGAAAAACTTTCAGTTTACCTTATATGTGATACAATTCAGATTATAATAGAAATGATGTGCTTTTTCTTAGAACATAAAGAGAGAAAATTAAATGTTGCTTCTGTGGCAAAATTTTTTCCAAAAAACTGTATGCTAGCCCAATTCAAAAATCATTTAATTTTCACAGGGCCATCACCAAGGTTTTGTTTTCAAAACACCCAAGAGTTATGTTAAGCTTCCCAAATACCTCTCTTAGTGCTTTTATTTTCAAACCATTCTCCCTTTAATGACTATAGCACTAAAGCATTGCTTATCTTTCTCTTGTTTACTTACTAACTGGTCGGATTAAATCACCTCAGAAGCTTAACATACAAACAAATTACAAGTCAGGACAGACGCACACACTAAATGAAGAACGGTTTCTGAATGGGTACTAATTTTGTAAGTGGTACATGAGTGAATATTTTGCTTTCCTACACAACTTCTCCTGCGACCTCATAACTGCAGGAATGTGAATAACAAATTCATAGCCAATGAGAAACCCCTGTGTGTGTATTTATATTACCGGTATATATAACAACAGGGGACATAAGTCTTGGTCTGAATATCTTACGGTATGTAAAATGTATCTTAATCACATTTATAAACGATTTTTTGTAGTGTAATATAATACTGTACCAAGGTTGTCAGGGAGTTCCTTTTCATATAGAGTCTCTCCAAGTACTGCAGTCCCTCATCTTTTAGTAACTCCAAAGGAAAATGGTGCAGATTCCTGTAATTTAAGAACAAATTCTTGTGCTTTTCCAGCCTTGCCACAGAGATCGTCTTACAAAGTTCAGATGCCATGACTGAATATATCCCATCAGGCACACTTGTAGCATTACATCTTGTCAAAATTGGTCCATTTCTATAAAGACAACAAGAAAATGTATTCATTATATGATTTTTTACAAGCACTGCCATATAAACCAGTTAGCATACAGAGCTACTTGAAGACACTGAAAAATACATTCAATCCCACATTTTACTTTCATAACTAAAATTGTCACACGTATTTTGGAGGAGGAGGTTAAAATAAATAACAATTAAATAAAAATACTCCGATTAGACAATATTTATTACTTATTATAGTCCTAATGGGAAAAAGTTTTTGCCCATGAGATAGGAACTCTTGTCTAAGAAAAACAGTGACCAGTTTCATAACATGCAACCAAAGGAGAGGCTTAAAAACCACATGCAGCAAATCCCATTTCTTTTATGAACCACCTCATTCTGTATTTAGCTTAACATGCTTCAAAAATATTAAAATAGATATTATTTATATCTTGAGCACTAATAGCTTTTCTTCACTTCCTGGTAAATATTGTCCTATATTCTGATTTTTTCTTTTTTTCTTTTTTTTTTTTTTTTTTTTTTTTTTTTTAGAGAGACAGGGTCTCACTTTGTTGCCCAGGCTGGGATCCAGTGGCTCAATCATAGCTCAATGTAGCCTCAACTCCTGGACTTAAGTGATCTTCCTCCCACCTCAGCCTCCCAAGTAGCTGGAACTATAAGCATCACCACCACACTTGGCAATTTTTTTATTTGTTTGTAGAGATGGGGTCTCACTATGTTGCCCGGGCTAGTCTCAAATTCCTGAGCTCAAACAATCCTCCCACCTTGGCCTCCCCAAGTGCTGCGATTACAGGTGTGAGCCGCTGTGCCTGGCCTCTTTGTTTTTAGCTTTACAGATTATCAGAGGTATCAAATAAATAGATCTGGGGCCACACAGTTTCATTATTCTAAGTTATTTCAATGAAACAAGAAACACTGCACTCAGAAACAAGAATCCTGTATCATTCTATAATATTACAATGCCTCTGGGCCTCCAGTTGCCCAATATATACAATGGAGAGCAATTAATGTACTGATTAACAGGTCTGAGTCCAGGACAGATTACTATAAATTCTCTTCTAGCTCTACAATTGACAAGGGCAAGAAGACAAGTAACATTTGCCATTTTATCCACTAGGCACAGAGCTAAAACAAACTTCACCATCAGTTAACACAAAAAGAAAGAAACTCAAGGCTTCAGTGATTTGTCCAAGGTCAAACAGTTCACAATCCTCAGCACTCTCGCCAAACTCTCTATTGGAAAGTCCCTTTCAAGAATTTTTTTTCCTTAAGGAAAGTGATTTTCACTAGTAATTAATACCAAATTAGTACAAAATTCAGCAACATAAGCTTTCAATAAACAGAGTTTCGTAATTTCTTGGTTATCTTTTACTATTTCCAAACTCAAATTCCTAGCTAATGAGACAGCACTTGCCATTTTATATTAAAAGGCAAAGTATGAAATATTAACTATTTCCAATGCAACGTCAGGATCGAATACTTTCCCATATTCCACCTACTCACCTATTTTGTGAGACGTATTATGTGACTTTGTGCAAGATAATCTTTCCATATCTTAATTCTCTTACCCATAAAGCAAAGGGAGTAGACTACAAATAACCTCAATGATTTCATGTAGAAAGCGAAACTCTATAGGTAATTATTCACTGAAGTAGTAAACCGTTAGCAGTTTAGATGTCTCACAAGCAGCTCAACTTAACACAAAGAGCTTTCTACTTTCATCTCCAATACGAATCTCCCTAGTTTTTCCCATCTCAATAGCGCACCCCCTCCAACCACCCAGCGGTTCAAGCTGGAGAAACAAGAAGTCATGAATGATTCCATCCTCTCATTCTCTAACCACGTTCAATCTATCACAAGGCCAGTGGCTTCCATCTCCCAAATACATCTCAAATCCATCCAAATCTATCCATCTGCCAAAACCCCAAGCCACCGTCATCTCCTGCCTGGCCAGCTATATTAATGGTCTCTCTGTGACCACTTTGGTCACTTCCAACACATTAATCCCAGCAGTGGGCTTTTAAAAATGTACATGCAATTGGGTCTCACCTTTCTGGCATCCATCTTACTGAACAAACCCTTCAGAAACTTCTTATTTAGAAAATCAAACTCATATTAGGCCTTGAAGACGCCTCACCACCTGCCCCCACCCACTTCTTGAGCACTCTGCTCGGCTCCTCACCAAATTCCGGGGCTTTTTCTCATTCTTAAGGCTACCAAACCCCTAACAGCATTTGCTGCTCTCCTCTTAGCCTAGAAAGCAATGTCCCATCATTCTCCAGATTTCAACTTAACAATCACTTCCCTGGACCAGGTGCGGTGGCTCTTGCCAGTAATCCCAGCACTTTGGGAGGCCGAGGCGGGTGGATTACCTGAGTTGAGGAGGTTGAGACTAGCCTGGCCAACTTGGCAAAACTCCGTCTTTACCAAAAATACAAAAATTAGCCGGGCATGGTGGCAGGCACCTGTAATCCCAGCTACTCGGGAACCTGGGACGCAGAGACTGCAGTGAGAGGAGATCGCACCACTGCACTCCAGCCTGGGCAAAAGAGCAAGACTCTGGCTCAAAAAATAAAAATAAATTTCCCATCCCAAAGTGTTCTCCTGGTGTTCTTTCAGAGCAACTTGGCCGATTCTTTGTTTCTTCGTAGGCCTCCTCACAATTTCTCATCTAAATATTTATCATTGCACCTGTTTATCATCAATCAAGACAAAAAGCCTGTAAATAAACGCTTCCGAAACTTATTTAGAAATCCTGAGGGCAGAGACTGTGTTGTTTTCTCCACGCTTGCATACCTGCATCTAGCACACTATCTAAAAGTAACCCTTCATAATACCTAGGTGGTGGGTGGATAGGTGCAGCAAAGCGCCACATATTTACTTATGTAAACCTGCATATTCTCCACATGTACCTAGGAACTTAAAATTTTAACGTAAGTCTTCTAATATCTGATGACACGTGAAACAACGTTGCAAGGTTGATTTCTCATCCACCCAAGTCAAGACCACGGATAGATCCTCTCAGCTTGCCGCATGCCATAAGGACGTCTAATCTTTACAATCATGCATTGCAACAGACATTAGTTAGCACGTTTTGTAGACGAGGAAACTGAGTTTCTCAGAGGGTAACATACCATAGTTCCATCGCAGGTGGGCTGGTGCACCGCCGCCCTATAATGCAAAACCACGCTTACTGAGGGAAGATTCAAGAAGAGATTCCCTGTAACCTGACGGCTTTGAATGTTCTGAAATGGGATTGGCTGCCTCAAAAACACAGTTACTCTGTTAAAATTGCTACAAAGGCTGTTTGGGAGATAAAATTTAAACTAATGAAATCCCAAAGCTGCCAATAATGCCGATAAAGCATCAACAATGCTCACAGTTTTGCAGCATGCAATTCATGGGCCATACACAGCCTTTAACAAGATAATTTTCTTACCCCATTTCACTTTACTACCTCTAACCTAGTTAAGCAAACTACCTTTGTATAGTTACACTACCTCTTACGTAGTAAGGGCAATCAGCTGTGTAGATCCGCACCTACAACACGAGCTTTCTGGCAGGTGAACACTATCATATTAAAAACAAAACAAAAACATAAAAAACCTCCCGTTTAACAAAATTCTACACATTTTAAAGTGTATTTTGAAAGAAAGGAGTCCCTTAGACTGACTTCCCCGTACGCAATTTAGTAGAACACGCATTTCAATTTCCTAACGCTGGAGATTAGAGAATTATAAGCTACATATTAAAAGCGTTTGTAAAAGATACGGTATCTTCTCAGCTCAGCGGTAACTAACACTGGCAAAAGTCTTAGGCTAAACGCCAGACACTGAGGTCGTTACAGTTGGGAGGCAGCGAGCCTAGCAGCAGGGATTTCAGGGACCCGGTATCCAGGGTTCTGGGGTCCCAGGGGCCGGGGGCCGCGGGCCGCGGAGTGCCAGGAGGACCCGGCAGCAGTGGCTACCCCAGGCCCAGACCGCCCCGCTGTCCCACTCGCCGCGGCCCGGACGCTTTAGCCAGGCCAGGTCTGGGGCGTCCCCGCCGGTGGCCGGGTCAGGGAGCCCTGCCACTTGAACCACCAGACGAGGCAGACAGCTCTACTCACCTCAGCGCCGGCAGAGCCAGCGCTACCGAGCGCAAGCGGCGCTGGAAGGCAAGCGGGGGACGGCGGGCGGGCGGGGCGGGGCAGGGAGCCGGGCGGGGGCGAGGCGGTGGGGGTGGCGGGGGCGGGGCCCCGCGGGCGGAGCGGAACCCGCGCTACTGGGAAGTGGGGAAGAGGGAGCGGGAGAGGGGCACGAAACCTCGCGATAATCCACTGCGTTCTCGCAGTTTCACGAGAGGTGCGGCGAAACGCTCGTTTGCCAATCGATGTGTCCATTGGCCGGGAGAGCGACTTCCTCTATAGTGGCCCCGCCCGCCGCTCTATTCTTGCTTCCGGCTCCGGGGTGGGGTTTTCTGTCGACTGGCGGCTTTTTGCTCAGCGACTTGAAGGGGTAATTTAGCCGGCTCCAACCTCGGGAACTGCCAGTTACTGACCTTTTCCTTTATTCGTACATTCGTTCAGTCACTCGGCCTCTCATTCGATGGCACACGTTGAGGGATTACAGCAATGACATCCCACCTTGAGCGTTCCTTCTAAGAGCTGTTTATAGATTAATCTCGTTGAACCCTTAACAGCAATCCCATGACACAGGGAGTAACAGTTTTAGTCTGACGGATGAAAAACTGAGGCCAGTGGGTTTCTGTAACGAAGCCAACGTTAGTTAGCAAGCTGTGAGCCTAAGCACTGGATTTAACGGATCACTGCGCACTGCTAGATACCAAAGATGAGGTAACCTAGAGTCTGCCCTTCAAACACCCAAGGTTTATTGTGAGAAAAGATTGCTTAAAATGACAATTAACAATTTAGTAAGTTAAATACAATGGCCGTTCCTAGCATGACTGAGTAGGCCGTCAGTATGTGTTTCTTCAAGACGAAAATTCCTACGTCAGCGAAATAGTATCAGAGAAAGGGCTTTATGCTGGCAAAAATACTTCGAAGCATTGTTCGGAAAGATTTTTTTAAAGGCACCGTTTAAAGTGTCTCGTTAATATGATAAATTTCCTTCGGAAATGAAGGTTTTAAAGTATATTCCTCTACTACAATCGCTGCTATTTTTTTGTTCTGTGAAAAGCCTATTTGCGAGGCTCCTTGTCAAGGAACCTTCACTTTATCATGTAGTTTTACAGTGGCTGACTTAATTACTCATAGAGATGAATAACCTAGAAAGCAGAGTTGGATTAAAAAATAAAAATAAAAAAAAATCGGTTTCAAAACAAGGTATGAGTTGTAATAAAATATTTATCAGTTATCTATTAAATCTGCTCTTCAAGAGCTACTCAGGTATACAGCATGGTATGTCATGTATTTCTAAGATATTTTCGTAATACCTAAGAGTTCGTGGCACTCAGAAATTTTTTGCCGGACTGAAAATGAGGAAATTCACATTTTGTGTAAAAACAAAAGTACTTAGGGTATTTAATGGTCAGCCCAAATAATAAGACTTGCTGTTAATATATGAAGCTTTGCCCCCCCAAAAAAGAAAAAAGATTAACGACAGAACGATTTTTTTTCAAAGTAATGTTAGCCTCTTAGTTTTCATTTTTGCTTTTTAAGGGGAATACTGTTTTTCAGTGCATTAATTTAATATCTGGTATTTGACCATGAAAAATTAATCATTTTAAAATAACTTTCACCTCTTCCCCAAATTGACACAAAAGTTGCCAACTGATTATATGTTACAGTCTCCTATGACTCTACTCTTGGAATTTCTCCCAATTTGTAGAGAATCAATTTGCACATTTTGTCTCTCTTAAAAACAAAGGGGGAAAAATCCTCTAAGCTGGTGATTTTACATTCTTTGACAAACTTCAGTATCAACAGGCAGCGATACCACTTTAAGAAAATTCCGAGGAAAGACCTCATTCTAAAATTCCCACCTCTGGCTCCCAAGGATTGGGTTGCAAACTTCGACAAAATACTCTTCTCCACTCGCTATTGGTGAGTGCTCTATCATTCATCTTTTGCCTGGAATTTTGTGAGGTATCCACTTGCTTTACGGGAAAAGGTTGCTCCGGAACGGCCCTATTTTAGACTTTTCATGGTTATCAGTCTGTACAAATAATCACCACACATAAAGCAGGAACCAAATGGCAAGTCACGCTGCCAAGACAACTGTGTAATTCGCTCGAAAAAGAAATGGTAAGCCTCTCCAGCAGACTGGGTTAAACTGGCAAAGGATTTTACGACATAGTTGGAGATCGGAGAGTTACGGAAACTTTTTCGGTTTTTTACTAGTTTTAAAGGAGTGATTGTCAAAGGAAAAGCAGAGAAAAATACATGCACAATTTAAAGGTAGCAGGGAGAAGAGTGTTCAGAGAGCATTTTTCTCTTTAGGGTGAGTTTGGAAAGCATCATGGCCCAGATTATCAGTGGATTTTTGAAAGGTAAAGGAAACAAGATAATAAGATCATTTTCTATTTTAAGAAACTGTGCTTCGGTATTGTTGCTTAAGTGTGGATTTAGAAGGACATTTAGTAATATTGTAATTTTTAAGTGCATGTTTTCATTGGTATATTATCATACCTGGCATAATAGATAATACATCTATTAAAAGATACAAGAAAAAACAGAGTTGTTTGAACCCAAATTTTGTGTATATTCGTAGATTAGGGAATTCAGGGATAGATCTGCTAATGGCTAAACAACATACTATACAGATACCTGAAGCAGAATCAGCATGTAAGGATACATTCTCAAAAAAGGAATTCAGCATCATATTTTCAAAAATGACATTTTAAATGAAAGCAAATATAAAAGAATTTATCAAGAAAACATTGGTAAACATGAATAGCTGTTTCTTGTGTTGCTTCTTTAATCCATATAGGGGAATATAAATTAATAAAATACAGCTCCTCAAGAACAGGGACAAGTAAGGATCAAAACATGTCTTATTGCCCAGATGACTGCTGTAAACCACAGGTACTTCAGGAGCTCAGCTCAATGTGAGATGAATTATTCAGGGAAGGCTTCACAGTAGGGGTAAGACTCACTTTGGGCCTGAGCAATGAGCAGAATTTCAAAGAGAAAGGGGAAGTGGCATCCCCAATAGTGAGTGAGTTGTTAGCAAATACGGGCAGCCTGATGAAGAGTTGGCTCTGACTGCAGTGGAAAGTTCATTTGGAAACTTTGGTTAAAAAATTTTAAGAAAGCAGCCTGAGAAGTTACCTGAAGAGGCAAAATTCCCATAATTAAGGGTTTTGGTTCTATGTTTGGAACAGGAGGCACACTTGATGGAAGTAATATTTGAAGATGATAAAACTGACAGTGCAATTTAAGATGGTTCCAAGGGCAGAGAGCGAAAGCTAAGGGGCCCCATACTGTAAATACTGGCACACAGGTTAGTAACTATGCTTCTTACCTAAATACTTTACCTTACCATTGTTGAATAATATAAATTTTGATGCATTTCTTTGTAGTTTTTGAAAGCATTTTTACTTCTTAAGATTTTGGGAGGCCTCTGCCATATTGTCTTAGGTAATATGGTTGCCCCATCTTTATGAAAGTCTTGTCATAAGATGTATAAAAATCAGAATTACACATAAAACTGCATTGTGGTTTTATAGCTATTTTTGACAGCTTTAGTGAAGTATAATTTATATATTATAAAGTTCATTTGTTTTAATGGTATAACTCAATGATTGTTTTAGAAAATGTAATAGAGTTGTACAACCATCATCACGTGCCAATTTTAGAAAATTTCGTCATCCTGAAAAGATTCTTTATGCTCATTTGCAGGCAAGTCCTGGTTGCCTATTCTTAGCTCCAATCACTAAACAACTTTCTATCTCTGTATATTTATCTTTTCTGGGCACATAAGTGGAATTAGACAATATGTGATCTTTTGCATCTGGTTTCTTTTACCTAGCATAATGTTTCTGAGGTTCATCCCATGTTGTATTATATATCATTACTTCATTCCTTTTTATTGGTAAATAATAATCCATTGTATGGCAATGGATTATTATTTATTTATTATTTTATTTATCTGTGTACCAACTAACAGACATTTGGATTTCTTCCAGTATTTAATTATAGTGTTTAATTGTACTAATTTTAATTGAAATACAGTAAACACAGTAGAGTACTTAGCTATTATAAATACTGCTGTATGAAGATGGGTACAAGTTTTTTATGAACACGTGTTTTCAGTTTCCTTGGGTGTAGACCTAGGAGTGGGATTACTGTCAGATGGTAACTCTGTGTTCAACTTTTCGAGATGTTGCACAACTGCTTTCCAAGGTGAATTCACCATTTTACGTTTCCACCAGTGTTTGAGGGTTCTAACATCCTCGCCAACACTTCTTATGATCTGTCTTATTCATTATAGTCATTCTGCTGGATTTTAAGTGGTATCTTACAGCTTTCTTTTGCATTTTCCTAATGATGGATGATATGAAGCATCTTTTCATGTGCTTAGTGACTATCCATATATCTTCTTTTGTAAATGTCTATTCAGATATTTTGCTTATTTTTTAATTGTGTTGTCGTCTTGTTACTGATTTTTTGTTTTTTGAGGTGGAGTCTCACTCTGTCGCCCAGGCTGGAGTGCAGTGGTGCAGTCTCTGCTCACTGAAACCTCTGCCTCCCGGGTTTAAGAGATTCTCCTTCCTCAGCCTCCCGAGTAGCTGGGATCACAGGTGCCCACCACCATGCCTGGCTATTTTTTTTGTATTTTTAGTAGAGATGGGGTTTCACTGTGTTGGCCAGGCTGGTCTCAAACTCCTGACCCAGTGATCCGCCCACCTCAGCCTCCCAAAGTGCTGAAATTACAGGCATGGGCCACTGCACCTGGCCCTTGTTACTGATTTTTAATTGTTCTTTATATATTCCGGTTAAAGTCCTTTATCAGATTAATGATTTACAAATGTTGTCACCCATTCTGTGGACTGTTTTTTAACTTTAATAATAGTGTCTTTTGAAGCAACAAAGGTTTGGCTTTGATGAAATCTAATTTATCTTTTTTTTTCTTTTATAACTTGTGGTTTTGTTGTTGAATCTCAGAAGTCTTTGCCTAACAGGCCAGGCCCAGTGGCTCATACCTGTAATCCCAGTATTTTGGGAGGCAAAGGTGGGTGGATCACCTGAGGTCAGGAGCTTGAGGCCAGTCTGGCTAACATGGTGAAACCCCATCTCTACCAAAAATACAAAAATTAGCTGGGCATGGTGCTGGGCACCTGTAATCTCAGCTACTCAGGAGGCTGAGCCAGGAGAATGGCTTGAACCCGGGAAGTGGAGGTTGCAGTGAGCTGAGATCATGCCACTGCTCTCCAGCCTGACAAAGCAAGACTCAATCTCAAAAAAACAAAAACAAAAACAAAAACAAAACAAACAAACAAAAAAACACATACACAAGTTCATGAAGATTTACTCCTATGTTTGCTAAGAGTTTTGTAGTTTTGCCACTTGCTGTGAGGTCTTTAATCCTTTTGGAGTTAATGTTTATATATGGTATGAGGTGTAGAGATCCCACTTTATTCTTTTGTGTGTCCAGTTGTTCCAGCACTGTTTATTGAAAAGACTCTCTTCCCACTGAATTATCTTGGTGCGCTTGTTAAAAAAAATTCATACATATGAGAGTTTATTTTTGGACTCTTAACACTATCCCATTCTTCTATATGTCAGTTTTGTTTGTTTGAGACAGCCTTGTTCCCTCGCCCGAAACAGTGGTGCGATCTTGGCTCACTGCAACCTCCTGGTTCAAGCAATTTTCCTGCCTCAGCGTCTTGAGTAACTGGAGTTACAGGCACTCGCAATCATGCCCGGCTAAATTTTTTGTATTTCTAGGAGAGACGGGGTTTTGCCGTGTTGGTCAGTCTGGTCTCGAACTCCTGACCTCAAGTAGTCTGCGTGCCTCAGCCTCCCAAAGTGCTGGGATTATAGGCATGAGCCACTGCACCCAGCCTCTGTATGTCATTTCTTTTGCCAGTACCATTATGTTGTTTTTGGGAGGACTTTTCCCCAGTTTTATTGAAATATAATTGACAAACTAAAAATTATATATATTTGAGGTAAACATCATGGCGTTTTGATCTAAGTATACCTTTTGTGATGCTTCCCACAATAAAGCTAGTTCGCACATTCATCACCTGACATAATTACCATTTGTGTGTGTGAGATGAGCACACCTAAGATCTAGTCCCTTAGCAAATTTCAGTTATTAACTATAGTTACCATGCTGTATATTATATCTCTAAAACTTATTTACCTTATAACTGAAAATTTATAGGTACAACACTTTTGATTACTTCACTTTTACTTTAGTTTTATAGTAAATTTTAAAAATGGGAAGTATGAGTCCTTCAACTTTCTTCTTTTTTAAGATTGTTTTATTTATTCTTGGTCTCATATTTCCATCTTAATTGATCCATAATAAGGATCAACTTGTTAATTTCTGCAAAAAAAAAGCTGAGATTTTGATGGATATTACATTAAATCTATAGATCGATTTGAGGAATATTATCTCTTAATATTGAGGCTTCTAATCCATGAACATGGAATATTTCTCCATTTATTTAGATCTTCAACTTCTTTCAGTAATGTAGTATGATTTTCATTGTACAAGTCTTGTATTTATTTTGTTAAATTTATCCCTCATACTTTATTCTCTTTTATACTATTTTAAATCAAAATGTTTTCTTAATTTTATTTTCAGGTTATTTATTGCTTACATATAAAAATATAGTTTTATTTATTTATTTTTTAATCCTGTGACCTTGCCGAACTTATTTAGTAGTTCTAGTGGAGGGGGGTGTTATTTGTTTATTTATTGTGGAATCCTTAGGATTTTCTACATAGAGGGTCATGTCATCTGATGATAATGTTTTATTTCTCCCTTTCTAATCTCCATGCCTTAATTTATTGTTCTTTCCTGTAGCTCTGACTGTAATATCCATTACAACCTTGACTACAGGTGGTGAGAACAATCATTCATGCCGTGTTTTCAAGCTTAGAAGGAAAACATTCAAACATGCTTCATTAAGTATGATATTAGCTTTAGGTTGTTGTAAATCAGGTTTTTTGTTTTGTTTTATAATTTTTAATTTTTGTGAGTACATAGTAGTAGATGTGTATATTTATGAGATACATGTGATGTTTTGATAGAGGCATACAATGTATAATAATCACATCAGAGTAATTGGGTATCTGCCTCCTCAAGCACTCAGCATTTCTTTGTGTTGGGATGATTTCGATTCTACTCTTTTAGTTACTTTAAAATACACAGTAACTTACTGTTTGACTGTAGTCACCCTGTTGTGCTGTCAAGTTCTAGATGTTACCCATCCTTTCTAATTATGTTTTGTGCCTATTAACTATCCCCACTTTTCCCTCTCTCCCCACTACCGTTCCCAGCTTCTGGTAATCATCATTCTACTCTGTCTCCATGAGTTCAGTTATTTTAATTTTTAGCTCTCATCAATGAATGAGAACATGCAAACTTTGTCTTTCTCTGCCTGGTTTATTTTGCCTAGTGTAATATTCTTCAGTTTCATCCATGTTGTTGTAAATGACAGGATTCTGTTTTGTGTGTATATCTACCACATTTTTTATCCATTCATGTGTTGATGGACATTTATGGCTGTTGTGAATAGTGCTGCAGCACCTGAGAGTGCAGTGTTGACAACTGTTCTGAGTTGTGAAAGGACTCCAGAAACCCCAAAGTCTACATTTCTATATGAAACTCCTAGTTTTAAAATGATGGCTCAATTTTTTTAAACTGTCAAAAAAAAAGTATATACGAGTTAGATGAGCCTGTGAGCACTCAGAATAAATATAACCTCTCTTTTAAGGATGCAATATTAAGAGGCAGCAGGAGACAAACCACTTTTTTTTTACATTTAAGCCGGAAAAAAAAAGTTAAATCCACTTTGAAATTAACACTAAGTTCAGGCCCAGAATAACAAATACTATAAGGCACGTTGCTTTTGTTGTCTTTAAACTTTCTTTTCTGCCACCCCTTAAATGGAAGGTAAGAAAATATAGTTAAATCTATTGAAAATGTTACATTCCTGTTTATAAAAATGTGTGATCACTTTTTAAAATACAGGCTTAGGTTTCCAAAGCAACAGCATTTGCTTCCCACTGCTATACACTGGTCAATGAAAGGCAGGATGATGTGATGGGAAACCACCGAATTATTAGAAGACCAGGATCCTAATTCTGGCTGTTTGATGTGCAACTGATTTAGCTTCATCTCATTGTCTTCATTTATAAAATGGAGGTGATAATATCTACTTCTTTACCTTATGTGGTTGCAAGTGCCACATGAGATAAAATGTGGGAAAGCATAAAGTTTTATGTATATATTAGTTGGTATTGCCCAAATCACATGGATGGTTG